AATTTTTTTTTTCATTGAAATCAGCGAGAGTAATATATAATATATTGTTCTCATAGAATTTCTTAAACATGTTGAATACGATCATATTTTGGAGTGAACTCATTAGATTCTGAAATTTTTGAAATTCTGCAGCGTTTTATCTGGTTGGAAATATAATGAGCTCTGATTGATAGGACTATTCACCCATATCTTCTGCACTTGTTTTGTCCCAAAGATCAAAAACTCTTTTTTCAATTTTTTTTTTTGGAAAAATAGATCTTGTGAACTTGAGTTCAATTCTAGATGATTCATTGAATGCCAATCCAGTGAATATTCATTATATTGTTCTTCCTTTTTCCAAACTAAATTAGTATTCTTAACTCGGAAATGTAAACAAATTTCTTTTGAGTATCATTGCTCATTCATTGCTATTTTTTCTTCTTCCAAACTCTTTTTCTTCGTTTTCTCGTTTCCTAGTTTTTTTTGTGTAGAATTGAGGGGGCGACCACATAGATAGCGGAGATGAAACTGAGAGGAGAACTTCATATATTTTTAACGTCTTCTACATTTCTCATACTTTTTTTCATCAAGAGAAAAGTTTCCAGGTTTCCTTTTATCTTCCTGGACCGTTTGGTCACTTGTCTTGTGTTCCGTTTCCTGTACAAACAAAGTTCCAATGACTAATTCATAAACCATTTGTTCCATTTTTTATTCCATTTAGCCGTCATTCAGTCTGGATTTATCAAAAGTCTCTCTGTATCTCTCTCCTTCGTTTTTTTCTATTTTTAAAACCTAAACAAATTCATCTCCTCCCTCTTCTTCTGAGTCGCCGTCGAATAATTTGCATCCTCTCCCGTAATATAATCTCCGTATTTTTTGATCGGACTACTCTTATTTTTGCACGTATCCCATCCGGAAATTGACTTTTGGTTTTTTGAGAAAAAATACGTTTTTCGCAACTTTTTCGAAGTTTTGGAATTTTTTTTCAAACCAAAAGTGATCTTCAAAAAAATTGAATGGAGCTTTATGTATCCTCAATTTTTAAGCATTATTGAAACAGGACATGAAACAAAGATGGGCGCCAAACTGGATATGAAGTTTTTAATAAAACGCTTTGGTCCTATTTTTTCAAACATATTTTTAATCATTCAAATTAAGCCCAGATGATGTCCTCATAAATTTATCTTCATGAAGGATAATGTACAGCCTTGCGCATAATCACCCGGACTGAAAAAACGGGTAAGTCTTTAGACGTAAGTATCTTGGAAGCACGAAAATTGGTAGAAATATAATTTTACGTTTGATCTAAAGCTACTGAAATTTTCAAAACGATTCCTCAAGTCTAGGTATTGTTATGACGGACCAAAGAGTAACGGCGTATGTTTCTTGTGATTTTCATTAGATGCGGCTATTTTGACAAGCGATAACTCAGTTCAAAGTGGATAAAATAATTTGAAACTTACCCAATTTACTGATGAAATGTTTGAATTTTCCCACTCCAAATTTTAGCCCAGTACAGCTTTTCAGCTCAGTCAAATTTTATGCTAGTACAAACTTTAGTCCGCAAGATTTTGGGCTATCCTGTACAGCGGAATGGAAAAATACTCCTGGAACCTTGCTTGTATTAAATTGTATTTGCTTTTTTTGTAGAAAAATGATGAAGCTCTCTCAAACATTTTGAGTGCTCCACCCCCACCTCATAATACCTTCCCTCAAAACCTTGTGTCCTATCCATAAATGCGTTCTCTGAACCAAAATGAGATTTATCAATAATCAAATCAACCCAGGTACCTTTCGCCAAATCCTATCATTCGTTAATAATATGTCTAGTTATTTGGATATAAAGAAACTAAATGAACATTTTCGAGAGCTGTGTAGATTGAATTCTTATGACTTCTGGAGTTCATCAGCTTTACGAAAACCAATTTCTAATCTGAGTCACTTGGTATTGCCTGATTGGATTCTGTTTTTAATTATTTTTCTTATTGTTAGTTCCAATCGGCTTTTCTGATGTCCAGTCCCACCTTTTCCCATCGAAACTCTATGACATAATCGTGCTCGTCTTCTTTTCCATTTTTCTTCTTCTTCTCTTCAAATAAAAACTCAATCTTCACGTCTCCACCCATTTTTCATGTGAATTATTCAAACTTCCAGACGAAATGACCTACGAGGAAGACGATGGTCTGAATTCGACACTTATCCCATATCCGTACATTGCTATTCCTCCCCCTACACAGCAACCATCAAGTGAGTCTTGTTACAAATTTGCAGAATATGAATCAGAAGAGAAATTATAATATTCTTTGAAATCCAATTAAGTCTTTTGTTAGACCTTTCAAAAACAAATTCTATTACAATCTGATGTAATAAAGGATGAATGTCTGTTGCTCTCTGAAGTTGAGAATAGATAGTCAGGAATCCGCTTTTCAATAACAAGTACTACTTTTCAATAACAAGTACATTATTCTGAAAAAGATGTGTAAGAGAAGCGCCGGTGGCCGAATGTCCCACAACGACAACTACTGTAACCTAAAAATGTTTTTATTTTCTGGGTTTTTTCTCGATTTTCATTGCTTTCCATCGAGTTTTTTGTTATTTTTCCCAAAAAAGTCGGAAAGGAAAAGTTTCTGGTAGTGATAAAACCAACGGGAATCGTACGAAAACCGAGATAATAAATACGGAATATAATATTATTTTTAGGTTACGGTAGTTGTCGTTGTGGGACCTTTGGTTGTCGTTGTGTAACCTTTGTGCCAATTCTATATTAGCAGTCCTTTCGAGATATTATTAGACAATCTTGAAGTTTCTGAAGACGTAAAATATGCTACAACATGTGTAAAGTATTCCTTACAAATCACCAATCCGAATCCCATACATGGAAGTTTATTCTTTTGAATTCTGAATCTAATCAGCATTCGATTGTCCTCAATTGTCATAATTTCGTAGGGAGTCAATCGGGTTTAATAAACTACGAATCAGAAGAGGAAATCGGATATTCGACTATAGATAATCGAATAATAGTAAGAGGCTTAGGGTTTGACGTTGACTAGATATTATATATTATATATTATATATTATATACTATACATCGATAATTCTAATGTTAAATCAGGTCACAGACTTTTAGAATAAGCTCAGGAATCCTTAGAACGGATCTGACAAGAAGCAACGTCAGAATGAAAAGATTTTGGATACAAGTTGTTAGTATGTTCACAAAAATTACACTAATGGATAATATAGAGGAATCAATAGTTACTCTATCATAAGAAATTCATAGATGTCCGGAGATTCCGTGTTTTTTTTTCATTCCAGATTCCAAATTCTCATCTTTTCCGCATCTTTTTCGTTCCGGAATCCAGATTCCGGATTCCGTTAAGTATATTTTTGTCCGGATTCTGGGAGATCGTTTTCCGGATTCCGCATTCCGTTTTCCGAAAAAAAATCATTCATCTCTGATAAGTAATTCAGAAGAAGATTTGTTTTGTATTGTACGTTTTTAGAGGAGATTAAAGTCTGACGTTGATTTCAAATCTTGATACATTTCTATCTTACGTAGCCGTATACAAATCAGAAGAGCCATGAAGTCACAAGAAAGATCGTGGAAACAAGTATCTTTGATAACGATTTGAATATTATGGATGCACCATAGGTGATCAGCTGAAATAAAAACCCCGGGGATGATTAGATTTTAGGGAAAATTGACTAGATGGGATGTGAGAAAAATGATCCCAGGTTCACCAAGAACGTTGTATGAGCATATTCGGAAAAAAAACTATATTTCAGATATAGAACTGTTTCTCTCCCTACTCCATCTTGTTTGTCTGACATCAAGTCTCTGCGGAAACGTTTCCCAACTTGTGCTTCAGTTATACACAAGAAGATTACGAGATTCAACTCATGTTCAAAAGTTCCTTGCCTTTTTCTTCATCATCAACGCATTTGTTTCTCTGGGAACTCCGTGGATGATAGTTGAAACATTAGTCCGCCATTGGACATTTGGACCAAATGCATGTAAAGCCTATCAGGCTACTGCCCAAGTTGGAAGAACAGTTCTCCCTTATATTATTGTGGCTCTTTATGTGATTACGGTGAGTTTTGTACGAATTTTGAATCATTTTTAATTTATCCAGTTTCCAGAGTATTTCAATAAATCCCTCAAGAAAGTGTAGCATGCGGCAATCGTTTACTTCAATGATACTTGTTATCATATTTGCCCTTCTCGTGCTTTTCATCATCATTCCGGTCATTGGAAGCTCTACAGTTAGTAATTCAAATCAAAATAAAATCTCAAAATTTAAAATTTCAGCTTGTTCCACAAATTCATGGAAACCATTTACCGGGAGAACTGTACAGTGTGATGTTTGAATCATTTTTCTGTGTGATTCCATTTTCTGAAGAAGTGTATACGGATGGAGTTGCACTCCTTGTGGAAGTTATTGTTCCTCTTATTTTATGTATCATCTGTGCAATTCAACTGAAAACTGCGCCAAAAGGATCAAACCCACAGATGTCTACAGATTCTATGAACTACTATTTGGTTAGTTGTCCAGAGGCGGCTGTGAATCGAATACCATTTGAAATTACAGATATGGATATCGGTCATCCACTTCTCGACAAGTTTTTGGTACTATTTTTCTACTGAAACAAAATTATGGATTTTCGGTTTTATTCCTTCTCCCATGGACTATAGAGATATCTTATGCTTGCTGCCGTATTTATCCTCTTCTCTTACTTGGTATCCTGCATCTGACATGAGCGCCTTCTGGTCATTATACGAGGTTATTATCACCTACATACATCTAGCCTATATTTTAATTGCTTTCTTTAGGCTCAAAGTGAAAGTCCACAGTCATTCCACAGCCGTAACTCATCTCGTCACGTTCGTCTAGTAGTACCCCCGTCGACGTCCGCATTGGAAGACGGCGGATACAGTCATAACTGTCATTTACCATTAAGTTCTCAGAATACATGTGATGTTTGAATTGCAAGAGTTTGTTTTAAATGATGAAAATTTGATACTAAAAGGCATTAGACAACATTCATAAATAATAAATACTAAATAAAACTGTAAAGCACCCAACAAAATATCGATGAAAAAACCCATAGATAAATTATGCACATTAATAAATGAGTAATTATGGTGACTTAGAATGAAAAATCTTAGGGATGGGAACTTGGGAAGAAACAACAATGAAGGGTTCAAAATTACATTCAACAAACATTGAAAGATCAATCGAATTTTCCTTTTCTCAAAACTTTTCCTATTTTCGAATTTTCTTCGAAAAGCGAACGGATCATGAAGACTTGAACTCCGGCCACCCCGACCATGACGAGAGTGTGGACGACGCTCCAGAATGTGACACGATCGAAGTTGGCACTCATTACTGCACGATCTCGGGCCTCGTGTGCACGGAGAAGTGCCTGGTGATACTCGACCTTGTTCAGATTGTTCTTGATTCCATTTGCGCGTCGCTGAAACATTATTACAGTGATCATAGTTGAAATGTCTAGACGCATACATGGAATTCGTCAATTGTCACTCCCAACTCGTTCATCTTTGAAGAGAGGTCAGCATCAGTGCGAGCCATCGCTGAGAGATCGGTCTCATCCAAATTTCCATGGGCGTCGAACAAGAAAATTTCGAAGAACACAACTTTTCTCGACTGATAACTGAATGAGTTATCGAAACAAATTTGATAGTCTCCTGGTTGGTTCAACTCGATTCTATGTGATCCGTCGACTTTGAGCTGATCTTGTTTCAATATATTCGCTCCATGAAGAATCATGAAGTTTATGTTCAAATCGCCACCGTCAATTACCTGTATATTTAGATATTTAGTTGTTTTAACGACTGTATTACCTGATAATCGACTTCGAGAGTTTTGTGTTTAGTAAGATCGACTGGCTGGAAGAAGCATTGAAATTTTCCAGCGGCAACTTCTACAGTGAAATCATACTCTCCACATCGAACGAATGAAGCGATGATGAGAAGTGTTATCACAATGGTGAATCTACCCATGGCTGAAATAAATAAGATTTAGACTTAACACCTGGAAGAGAAACAACACGAATCAAAATGGAATCAAAGTAGTTTCGAGTGAGAAATTATGAATTATTGGGGTTATTCACCAACATGTAGAAAAACTCGGAGAAATGGAGGAAATTCCGCGAAACCGCGGAGAATGAACCAATCCAGCTGAAATTTCGGAGAAAATCGGGAAAAATTACAGAGAGCATTTTCAAAAAATTTGGGGTCGCAAAATTAATTTTGAAATTTTGGCTGGAATTACAGACAAAATGGTCAAAGTGGATATTTTGACCCCAAATTTTGTGAATATGTATAATTTTCTCCGATTTTCTCCGAAATGTCAGCGAGATTGGTTCTTTCTCCGCGGTTTTGCGAAATTTTCTCCATTTCTCCGAATTTTTCTACATTTTGGTGAATAACCCCAATATAAAATTAATTGCTACAGTATGCCTTCCTGGCGGGACTCAAGACAATAATTTTCACTCTGCGCCTTTAAAAGTTTTTTACAGTATCCCGCTTACCGCGAGAACTTTTTTCCGTTTTATTTTCAGCATCTTTTTTGGAAAATTCCGAAAAATGACATAAATTTTCAAAGGCTTCAAATTTTCTAAGGAACAGAGCTTGTGTATTCGCTAGCTTTTCAATAATTGCTGTCGATAAGTAGGTATTTGTACTTCTTGTCGTCTAATGACCGAATATTTGTTTTCATCTGTTGAATTAAAGCTTAAATAGGTCAAAACTATACCAATTTATGTTTAGTTTACGTGTAAATCCTCAGCGCTGACTAAATCGCTGTCTATTAGAGCGCAGTTGCCGGATCTCGCTTTTCTAGCGAAAAATTTAACTTCATCAACCTAAACTAGTGCTAATTGAGAGTATTATTATATCATAAATCTTGACTTCTCTCCGTTTTATCAGTATTTCGGCTAAGTTATTGTATTTCTCAGCTTAAATTTAGAACCGCCGTCTCTTTTACAACACCACTGCTATTTATTTAAGCATTTTGTTTCAATGTAATTTTATTATTAGTTTGGTTTATTCACCAGCTGAGTAATCTTATAATCAATTACCAATCAGTTTATTTCAATCTATAAATTTAAATTCGTATTATTCTTCCGTAGGGCGCGCTTTTCAACGCACATCAGCACTTGCCGCCTCGTGCCTGTCTCCTCTCTGGCGCCTCGCTCCTCATCGCTTTTGAATCACTTTTCGCACGAATAAAAAATTTATTCTGATTCAAACAGATTTCCTGATTTTTTTTTGTCATACGAGCTAGATCAACAAAGAAAACTGTAAACGGAATCTACTTTTATAGCTCTTTAATACGTCCTCCTCTCCATGGCTGTTTTTGAAGTGTTATCTCAAGCCACTGTATCGTTTTCCTTCCTTTATTGTTAATGTTGTGATGAATTACTTCCGAAATTTTTTTTTCGAAAATTCTGCAATTCCAGATATGGCCCGTTCTGACGGCTTCTCACCTCGGAAAAGCTTGAGGAGATCTGCCCGAGAACACTCAAGATCATATGTTGGCCAGGGGAGCAACGATGATTTTGACGATATGTATTCTCCACCAAGCCGAAGGGTAAGTCTGAAATTGAGAAACCGGAAAATATTTGTATCGCTCATAGAGAGGTAGCGGAGGTGGAGACGGGAACGGGTATACCCGATCAGGACGGAAAATCCACCATTCTCGGTACTACGAAGAAGACTATCAGGACGCGATCAGCAGTGATGATGAGCGAATGTACCGACCACGCAGGTTTCTTTTCTAGTCTGTGATCATAATTTGACCTGAAAAAGTTATTTAGAAACTCGAATTCCCTCACATATCGTCAGCAATGCAAACAAGCCATCGATGAATCTAAAAGAATTCAAAAAGTACCACCTGCAAAGCGTAAACGCATTTACATGTCAGACGATGAAGAGGAGTTCGTGGAAACCCGTCAAATGGAAAACACTGCTCCAGACCGTCCGACACGGCGCAGTTCAAGAAGAATGTCATCAACACACGAAGAGCCTGACGGTATAATTTTACCAGAAAAATTGAATAACACTTTTTTTAGTGTTAGATCAGGAAGATGTTTCCCCAATTCGCAGAACCAGAAGAACTACAATACGTTTCGGTAGTGAACCCGTTGAGGAAAATATGGAAGTTCCTCGAGTGCTCGAGACAAACGATATGGCTAACGAAGCTATAGTGCAAGCAGTTGATAATACGGAAAATGGAGAGACAGAAGAAGACGTCATAGAGAAAATCGGTAGAGAAGAGGAAGAAGAAGGGGATGAAGAGGAAGCTGAAAGTGGGGAGAAGGAGCAGGTAGGTTTATTGTTTCATAGAATTTTTAATCAAGCATACTTACAGGAGGATGAGGAGAGTAGTAATGCAGAAAGTTCCGAAGAGTCAACTGCTCCACGTCAGTATAGTCTCAGACGTCGTCAACCTGTTGTTCAATTCAATCAATCTGAAGCTCGAGAAAACAGACGGGCTCGTCTCGAACACCATCGGGCTGCCAATGCTAATAGGCACCACAGAAACCGAAACACATCCAATCGCCGACGTCGAAGTGGTTCCGACTCTGACAGTGATGACATGGTACTGCCAAGACCTGACAAGCGACAATCCAGACCACATATGCACAACCGTGGTGAACGAGAGCGCGGACGGTTTATGCCAATTAATATGACGGAGAAAGAACTACAGTCAGCTCAGCACATCCTTATGGATAGAATGAGAAAAACCGATGCTGGACAAGGTGCGAGTGACATCGATCCCATGAGTGTGGATTCTTCCGTTGGATTCGACCAGGTTGGTGGTCTTAGCCACCATATTCAATCGCTAAAAGAAGTAGTGCTGTTTCCTATGCTTTATCCTGAAGTTTTCGCAAAGTTCAAAATCAACCCGCCAAAAGGAGTGGTTTTCTATGGACCACCTGGAACTGGAAAGACGCTAGTCGCACGAGCTCTGGCAAATGAATGTCGACGTGGAGCAAATAAAGTGGCTTTCTTCATGCGGAAAGGCGCGGACTGTCTGAGCAAATGGGTTGGCGAATCGGAACGACAGCTTCGTCTTCTTTTCGATCAAGCATATGCCATGCGACCATCAATCATTTTCTTTGATGAAATCGATGGATTAGCTCCAGTACGTTCTTCAAAACAAGATCAAATTCATGCAAGTATAGTCAGCACTCTACTTGCATTGATGGACGGTTTGGATGGCCGAGGGGAAGTCGTTGTGATAGGTGCTACCAATCGATTGGACTCTTTAGATCCTGCGTTGAGACGACCTGGTCGATTTGATAGGGAGCTAAGGTTTTCGTTGCCTGATTTGAATGCTCGTCGCCACATTTTGGATATTCACACTTCCAAATGGGAGGAAAACAAGCCGACCCCCGAAACACTTGATGGTATCGCTGAAAAGACAAGTGGATACTGTGGAGCTGATTTGAAGTTTCTATGCACAGAATCGGTGTTGATTGGATTACGATCTCGCTATCCACATATTTATATGTGCTCAGAGCGATTGAAACTTGATATCACTACTATAAAGATTACCGAAGAGCATTTCGGGCATGCAATGCGACGAATCACACCAGCTTCAAGACGGGATCTTACAATTCCATCAAGACCATTGGACGAGAGGACTTCGATTCTGCTCGGGGACATAGTCAAAAATTTAATATCACTTCGAATCCCTCAAGGGTATCGATGTGTTGAAAACGCGATGGCCACAGCATCGACCGAACTGGAACAGGTAGTACGAGCTTTGGAACCGAATCTTACTGTACCTGCTATTCGCCTTCTTTTGTGTGGATCGCCTTCATTATCAGATGGTGGACAAACATCCTACGTTCTTCCAGCGATTCTTGCGAAGCTTGACCATCTCCCAGTTTTTTCTCTATCTGTCTCGAGTCTTCTGACAGATGGCCGACCAGAGGAGGCATTTTCGAATGCTGTCCAATCAGCAATGCGTGCATCAGCCACTGGTCCGTGCATTATGCTGCTCCCATCTATCGACGAGTGGATCAAGGTCATTCCAGTTTCTGTTCAACATATGCTCATAACATGTTTGGAGTCGATGACTGGTTTCACTCCGATTTTGTTCCTCTCAACCTTGGATTCTTCCTTTGAAGATGCTCCGGAGTATGCTACTGAAGTCTTCAGACATGCCAACTGCATCAGGTGAGTGTTTCGAAAGAAATTAGTATTGCGCATATCGAGAATTTTCAGTCTAAATCCTTCAAGACGGTCTGTGCGTAAACGGTATTTCGAGTTTGTGATTGATGGCGTTCGTCGGAAACCTAAAGTTTTTGACCGTAAGATTGCTCATTTTTCAATCATCAATTGGCTTCTGACATTTCAGCTACAATATACGAAATGCCCCAGGCCGACGATGACTCTCCGGAAGCCAAACCATCTCGAAAGCTTAATGATGATGAAACTAGAGAACTTCTAAAAATGTACACTGCTCTGCAGAGGCAAATGAGGATGTTCTTCAAAGAACGATTATGTAAGATTCAGGTTCCTGGCCTGATTTTTGATTAATGACTCTTTCAGCACGTCTTATTAGAGATCGACGGTTTGTGGAATTTGTGGAACCTGTCGATCCCGAGGAGGCCGAAGATTATTACGAGATTATCGAGACTCCAATATGTATGCAAGATATCATGGAAAAGTTGAATAAATGCGAGTATAACCATGCGGATAAATTTATTGCCGACCTGGTTTTGATTCAATCCAATGCTCTTGAATACAATCCATCTAACACCAAGGACGGGAAACTGATTCGACAAATGGCAAACACGTTCCGAGACGCGATAGATGATATGATCGACTGTGAATTGGACGAATCCTTTGTCGAACGGATTGAAATGGTTTCTCGAATGTTACAAGACGCAGGCGTCACCCCAACATCTGATCAGCTGCTTACCGAAATTCCAAAAGGGTTTTCAAGAAAGAAGCCGTGGACAATGGCCAATACTCTAGCAAAGGAAATTGAACAGTGGAAAGCAGAACGTGAGGCGGAAAACGAGAAACTGAAGGAGAAGCTGGGAATCTCAACAGATACAGCACAGAGTGCAATTGAAGAAAATAAGAGCGAAGAAGGAACTAGCTCATCGGTGGAAGAAATCAAGAAGAAATTAAATAAGAAAAAGAAGGACCAAAAGAGAAACAAAAAGGCTAGTTCTCAGGATCCGGATGGAGATGACACTGAAGAGACGGAAGAAGCTGTTGCTGAAAATAATGTGGATGCTGATGTTGAGATGAAAGAAACACCTGCAGATCCCGTTCCGACCATACAAAGTAGCAGCTCGCAAGAACGAGAAATTATTGTTTCAGCAGATTCTATCACTGATTTGATCAAACTGTGTGTCGAGAAATCAGAAGGATGGTCTGTGAGTGAGCTGGAGCGTCTCTCATCGGTTTTATCGCATACGATTGAAAGATTCCGGTAAGTTCAATGAAAAGCAATAAACTCCTAATTGATACAATTGCAGCGACGAGTGGAATCGTGAAAACCTTCCGGAGCAGTTGGCTCAGATTGTTCGCGAATGGGAAGCAACCGATGCGACAAATGAGAAAATTGCCAATGGGAAAGCTTCAAATAAGAACGGAATAGTCTTCAATGGTTATTGAAAGAGGTCTCCAAGATTGCCCCTCACTCCCCGATAATTTTAAAATTTAAAAAAAACCCCCTATATTTATTGTTTATATTTGGATCAAAACATTGTAACATATTATTCCCCAATCCTTTCCCGTTGAATACTCTCTGAGAACACTTTCTAAGTGAAACGGCTAACGTGATACTCACCTAATCCCACTCTGTGTTTTCACCCCAATCAACCAGTTCATAATTTTTGCATCGAACCCAACGAGCGAGCCTGCCTTCTCGCGCGTATGTATGTGCCCTTCACCTCCTTTTATTGATCTTTCTCATCACAATTACTCTTGTCTTTCTGAAGGATATCATTCAAAAAAAGAATGTTCGAATCTGGTACTCACTGTTTCATTTTGTTGTTCTGTTTCTGTTTTCATCGCAGATTTTATTATATTTTTTATTCGATTTAAAGATTTGATAGTTGATCAAATTTCTATTTTCAGATGGATTTCCAAAACAGGGCCGGAGGAAAAACCGGAAGTGGAGGTGTTGCATCGGCTGCTGATGCCGGCGTCGATCGACGAGAAAGGCTTCGCCAGCTGGCTTTAGAAACGATCGACTTGCAAAAGGATCCCTACTTCATGCGCAATCATATCGGAACCTATGAGTGCAAGCTGTGTCTTACTCTCCATAACAATGAAGGCTCATATTTGGCACATACTCAAGGCAAAAAACATCAAGCCAATCTTGCTCGTCGCGCTGCCAAAGAACAATCGGAACAACCATTTCTTCCCGCACCACAGAAAGCTGCCATCGAAACGAAGAAGTTTGTGAAAATCGGAAGACCCGGTTACAAAGTAACAAGAGAACGAGATCCAGGGTCTGGACAGCAAGCGCTTCTGTTCCAAATCGACTACCCGGAGATCACTGATGGAATTGCACCTCGTCATCGCTTCATGTCTGCTTACGAACAAAAGATTCAACCTCCAGATAAGAGATGGCAATACTTGCTTTTTGCCGCTGAGCCGTACGAAACGATCGGATTCAAGATTCCATCGAGGTTGGTAGAAAACTTAGTTGGTGTCTTTCTTGACATATGATCCTTTTCTCATAGTTTTCTTTTTTCGGAAAATTGTATTGTTGAATTATTGAATACTTGTGCCTAGAAGTTTTTCAATTTACCAAAAAGCTATCCTATCCACTTTTTCAGAGAAGTCGACAAATCTGAAAAGTTCTGGACCATGTGGAACAAAGATACGAAACAGTTCTTCCTGCAAGTCGCATTCAAAATGGAACGGCTCGATGAACAACCATACTACTGATACTCTGTATTTTATCTCAAATTTCAATTATTTTGATTCCATACATTTGCGAACATCCTAGCCGCCACGACTGACCGAAACCCATCCTCTTCAGTACTTTATGGTAGTTGGGGATAGGTCAATCAGTGGCAGCTAAGGTGTTGGTGAATGAATAATACCCTGTTTCGTTAACACAATAAATTATTCTTTTTAAATTCGGGACCCTTTGGAGTTTTTCTCGTAGGTTGAAATCCGCATTGGAACTTCTTGTTGTCCGCTTATGTTTGTTCCTCTGTTAGGAGTTCTTTCAGATGGCGAAAAAAGTCATGAAGAGAAAGGCTGAAGCTGTCTCAGAGGAGGTAGTCGCTGATGTTACCGGAGACTCGGTGAAAACGAAGAAGCCAAAGAAGGAGACACCAACCAAACCACTAGTAACCTATGAAGCTGGAGGATTGGCGAATCTTTTTGGAAAATCTTCGGACAGTGCAACTATTGTTGAAGACGTTACGAAAGGCGACAAAGTGATTGAGAAACCGAAAAGAAGAAAAAACGATCCAAAAAAAGAAGCCGAAGAAAAGAAGAAGGGTGGAGAAGAAACAGCAATCACTGAAAAGACTCCTAATGTCGATGGGGAAGAGACCAAGGAGGAGAACAAAAAAGGAAAAAGAGATCGCACCAAACAAAGAGAAAATCGTGTTCTTGCCAAGTCCAATGCTCGTTCTACCGCTGCTGACAACGCCAAAACAGTCTTCGTTGGAAACATGCCCTTAACAATGAATGAGAAATCCGTTAGTCGAATTTTTTCCGATTTCGGAAAAGTGTCTTCAGTTCGCATGAGATGCCTTATTCCAACCAATGAGAAACTCACTAGACGTGTCACTCATTTGTCTGGAAAACTCAGCGATAAACAGACTTCTCTTACATTTTATGTAAAGTTTGAAGAAGAAGAGTCGGTTGAGAAAGCGCTGAAATACAACGGAACGAAGCTCGAAGATCATCTTATCCGTGTTGATACTGTTGGAACCAAAAAGGGATTCGGAAAAGACATGGCAATTTTTGTCGGAAATCTTCCGTTTGATATCACGGAAGATACTCTCAGCAATTTTTTTACGGAAAAAGTCGGCGCAATAGAAGCTGTAAGAATCATCAGAGACAAAGACTCTGGAAAAGGGAAAGGATTCGCGTTTGTGAATTTCAAACAAGATTCGTCTGCAAGTCTTGCGTTGAGTATGGAAACTATCAAAATGGACAAACGAGATCTACGCATAACGAAAGTAATGAAGAAGGGACATTTGACGGTACTTGAGATTGATCTAATTGTTTTTAGTACATATCGTTTCTTTTAGAAAATTCAATCGGCAAAGAAGCGAGCTCCGTTGTCAAAGAAGCAGACTGAAATTACTGGAAAGTTGCAGAATTTCAAGTTTTCAACCAAAAAACAAAGGTAAATCCTTTTTTTAGAAGGAAGATTAGAACAAAAAGTATGCGCACTTTCCTTCTTCCCTCGCTTCCCTCGCTCGCTCTCTTCCTCCTTTTCTCTGCCCACCACAGTATTATCAACGCGGAGTAACCTTCCCCTCTCCCGACAAACGTAGCGCAATAGGGTGCGCGTTCGATCTGCGCGCAAGCACATGATGGTTCGACACCTCTCGCTGGTCGCACGACTGCAACCTGCTTTCGATACATTATCGTCTGCGGTACTTGTAGTGCTAAATGAATGTGGGCCCTCCGTGTGCGTGTGAACTAATTGAACTAGCACTCCGTTGGTCACCGAACAATCTTTTGCTTCAGAACTACCGAACAAAACGACCGTCGTGCTTTGAAGAAGTCTGCGAAGAAAGCTATCAAGAAGAAGAAGGCAGCTAAACAAGGACGCTTGATGGCGTAAAATTTATTTTTGTTGTTTCTTTTCTCTAACTGTTGACTTTTTGTTATTGTTGTTATTCAAAAAATATGAACCATCAATTTATTCAGTCAAAAAACATAACATAAATGCACTCACAGAGAAATAAGGCGAAGCAGTTACCCAGTAAAACAAACAATATACATGTTGGCTAATTAAATGAGAAAACGAGACAAAACGAAAAAAGGGTATTCGAAGCTAGAGATCCAAAAACACATAGTTTGGGGATAATTGAAAGAACACTAAAATTACACTAAGCCATAGACTCTTTTTCGTTTTCGGTATTTGGACGAGAAGAAGAATGTACATTAGACGCAGGAGGTGACACGACAGCAACACTACTCGGTTCATCGTTTTCATCATCATCCCAATTTCCATAATTGGCCACTTCTGCCGTTCGAGTCTTGTTCAAACGTTCATTCAATTCTTTAAGTGCCTTTTGTCTGGAAGACATAAAACTTTTATCGAATCAGCAATCACATCAACTTACCTTCTTCGTTCAGAGTCCTTGGCTGAATTCTCTAAAGCTGGCAAATTTATTCCAACGGCCACTGATTGCAGAGAATTCAGATCGACATGGCGTACTTGTCGTTTGCAAACACCCATACGGGCTAAAGAACGGAAGCAAACTTTGCCAATAAGTGTGAAGAACAATTGGGTTCTAGAAGGGAAAAGACTGGCCCATGTGAAATGTTCGCTTCCATCTCCATAAATCTCATCGGTTTCGTGGGGTTTGTAGAATCGAAGATATGTCCATGATACTTGAACACCAATTGCAATTTGAAGGAAGGATACCTGGTTTTGAATAGGATTGTTTAGTTTGTATTCTAAAAAAACTCACGAAGTAAATGAATTTGGTGAGAGCTAAAATGAATGAAACATAAATGACCAAGAATGGCAGATGTGTATACTTGATCCTTCCGAACGGAGTGGCAAGGACAATCGTGTCAGGCAGAAACTGAAATATTATTTTTGAAAAAAAAAAGGATTCCAATACAACTACTCACCTGCTTCATCAAAACCATAACTGCAGCACACACAGGAGTCATTCCCACAAGTGGCTCAATATAAAAGAATTTGATCGAATCGAAAAAGATGTAGGTGAGATATGCGAAAACAACTATTACAAGAGTGGTGATGCCCTGTGTGATGGCATAAAGTTTCAGAAGAGATTCGTTTGTGTTGTTAAGGCGGACAAGATTTGTTCCAAAATGAAGACACCATACTGACCATAGAACATCAATTAGGTTGTGTCCACAAAAGGCGCTTGTTGCAATACGCCAGAGCTGAAGTTTTAGAACTGCTATCAAACTATTAGAAAACAAATTACCTCGATTGAAGCAAGTTGGTAGGGATGAAGCCATAATAGTGAGCGGGCAAAGTGAAGATAGGAGACGATAAAGCCTAGAATCATCTGGGAAATGAAAAGTCTCTGTACAATGGTGAAAATTTCTATTTTAAATTAGACTTTATAGATATTTCTTAATTGTTTTTGGGGACCAATAGCATACCAATGATTCGTAGCACAACAAGAAATCGAAAAGGCAATGCATTGTTACGAAGTACATCTGAGTGTCTTTCAACAACGATTTGCAGGTCACCGAGCACTGATTTCACTCCCATTGTTTTGTCTGCAAATTCACTTCACTCCCTGGGATGGTGTCCTCCAAACAAGAGAGACAGAAGACACGGAAGGAGGGGTCTATGAGCTGGATTTTGTAAGCGCGCTCTATTGCGAACCACATTTCATTTCGCGTTCACACTTTTGACAATCGGAGGCAACAGAAACGAATTCAGCAATAGAAACAGGATATATTCGGGCTGAGAAGCCGATAGCAATCTTCAACGAAATCCTCAACGGTTAATCTCGACGGTCTCACTTGGGTTCAAGCCAATGGGTCAGAAATCGCGCCCCAGTAAACGTGAGATTTTAGAAAAAACTCGCTGCTTAATTATGTGGCTGAGGATCAAACTTTTAAACGTTGCACGAAAAAATCACGCGTTGCAACTCGTTGATTAAAACTAATTAGTTAATTAGTTAATTACTAATTAGTTAACTAATTTGTTAATTAATTAGGTCAAATCCACGTCAACTTTTGAAATTCTTAAATTTCTTCTTTGAAATTCTTAAATTTCTTCTGGCCTAAAAGTTATTTGGGGCACGTTTTTTGACCCGTTGCCTTGAACCCAAGTGCGCGGTGTCAAACTTCTGAACAAAAATCTCAGATTTACTAAAAAAATTTATGAAAAGATAAAAATAAACCAGGAAAGAGAGATACATAGTACAAAGAATGGCATTAGAAACTGGGAAAGAAATGATTGATAAAATGCAAAACAGACTCGGGTTGATTGTGGTACATTCAACTTCTAGTCATGTGATATCGGATAACCAAAGGCTCGGACTTGGGCTGACCACGTCGCTTCATCATCCATACAAACCGGACCGAAAAATCTTTTCCCATCAGCTGCCCATCGCAGAAAACATCGAGATCTCCGTATCTGCTTTGGTCATCCCATATTTGAAGAGAGATGAATCTGAGATAGACAACGTTATTTAATTTTAAATCACGTTGCTTACTTTTTCAATGTATTCATAGTGGTCATTTCACTACAACGAACGAATGGACGAGTAATAAGAGGTAGGTTAGCAGTCCCAGGTAGAAGGTTCACAGTAACTTGACAGTCATCTCGATGATGTGAGAAACGAGGCAGTTCTAGTGGATAGCACCTGTTTGTCCCAGTCACTCTTTCTCTTTCCAGTCGTTCTGCTCTTTCACGATCCTCTGCCGCAGTGTCTATTCCGATCGCTTCTCGGCAATCTCTTAGCAATTTCTTCCTCGCTTCTAACTCATTATCCTCCATTTTGGGCACAAATTGATTTACGAGATCATTGAGTGCACGATCATATGTGACGTAATGGGTTGGGTGAGAACCATGGATGAAAGTCCCACACGTTGGACAAGTTTTGTTGTCAGAGTCGAAATAATTCAAAAGACATCTCTTGCAGAAAGTGTGCATGCAGTCAATGATGGTTATTGCATCAACGATGTAACCCTGAAATCAAAAATCCGATTCAACTTATTTGGTTATATAAAGAAAATTTATTTTTGACTAGGGAAATTGAAAATTCTCATACAGAATATATTTGGAACATTTCTATGAAATTTTCTATACTGTTTTCTTCTCTATTAAAAACTCACATCACAGATTGAACAAGTGAAGAATGGATTCAAAACTTCCATGTCGCATTTTACAGTGGCTCTTCGAAAGTTGTTCATCACAGGTGGTACTCCATTAGTTGACGAAAAATTAGCTTTCGGAAAATAGACCATCATTTCTTCTCTTCTTCGTTGATTAATAGAAGAAATAGGTCCGAAATTCCATTTGCTCGCTTCGGCTTTAATTTTTCTCGATCCATATTTCTGTCTCATTGCCTCCTCTTTTTCCTGTTCCTTTCTCCGTAATCTCCTCGCTTTTTTCTTTGCCAGTTTAATCAATTTTTCTTCGAGTGTCATTTTTGGCCTATCCTTGGCTTCTTCTATTCGTCTTGCTTTCCTTTCTGCTCGTTCTCGATATTTCTTCTCTTCTGGAGTTTCTTCCTCATCATCTTCTACCACTTGTTTCTTTCTTCTAGATGGTGCACTTCTTTTAGTTTCCGACTCAGCTGGACCTTTCTTTCCCCTTCCAGTGGGAGCTACTGACTTTCTTCCTCTTCTAGGAGCAGGTTCAGGTTTAACTACCACGGGAGCGGGAGATGGGGAAAGTGACGGTGTTGGACTTGGAGACGTTGGTGGAGTTTCTTTTTTCTTTTTATTTTTTGCTGTTGACTTTGGCTGTTTCTTTGGGGTAACTTCTGGCGTTTCTTCACTGGCTTCATTTGCTCCATTATCTTCTTCCTCTTCCTCATCATCATCATCAAAATCTTCGTCTACATCTTCCTTCATTTGATGTGATGCTCTTTTTGACTTGCTTCCTCCTCTTCCACGAATCGCAGTCGATCCTCCACGCTTTCCCTTTCTTGCAGTTGATGTAGATGCTTCGTAATCATCGTCTGAATCAACCTCAGAATCTGGCGATGGTTTTCTTTTTGAAGGTGGAGCCGTGTGAGTATTGGATCTCCTCGTTACTCGAGATCGGTTGCCTGTTTCTGCTGGAGCTCCTCTTTTCCGAGGCATCTGATTCAAAAACATGATTAGGGGCTGCAGCTGAAAGCAAGAAGATAAGATAATCAGATTAAAACTTGATATACGAACTATTTCTATTAGAAAACAAATGATAAGATGTTTTATTCAACAATCACAGGGCATAATTTAACAACAAGATAAAATGAGCTATTTAGAAACTTTCACATAGGCCTGAAAATATTATGGATTCTTCCTTGTTCTTTTTCATCCTTTTCTCTTTGCTCATGAGCCAGATGAGCTGTATTTGAAAGAAAAGCAAGTGCACCTTTGTGACATCTGTTCGCATAGTGTCCTTTTTCTCCACACTGGAAACAGATGTTAGAAATTTTAAAATGATGATTCAGGTAACTCACCTTATAACACGTAACATCTGACAGATTCTTCTTATCTGGTATCATCGATAGGTCGACTCGATGATGATGATCCTGTGACTGCCGATTTTGTCCTGGTAGACTTGGACAGCTTGTGGCCTTGTGCCCTCGTTCGTGGCAATTATGGCAAGTGATACCTTGGCTATAGACTGGCTTAGAATGACTGATAGGTATGTTTTCCAAGTTAGGAAGCCCGAATGATGGATGCGCATATTGACAATCTGGACCCTGTGGGCAGAAACCTGCAAGGTAATTTGGACAAACAGCTCGACGACGATGGCGATGTTTGCAATATGGTCCATGCCTACAGAATCCACGATCATACCATGGACAGTCTTTTAATTTGGTTTCTGGGTCAATATGCCGAAACGGGCATTCTCTGTTGCTGCATGCACTGTATTTCGAGAAGAAGAAGCATTCTGGCATCTTCGTCAGATCGTATTCATGAAGGAATTCGCATTGATCTCCCTTTTTGCAAAGTCCACGCAGCCAGTGCTTACATACTACTGCTTTCTCTCCATCTATGTGACGAAGAGGACATGTATTACCAAATGGGCATTGTTTCGTTTTATTCTTTGTACAAACTGCCTTTCCACTTCGATCCAAATCTCGGAATGGAGCCTGAAACAAATTTCTAATGTTGATCTCGTTGAAATGTTACCTCTTTCATTCCTTTTTGATTAAATAGCGCATCTTCGACATCCGTAGAGCGGGCCGTTATGTTTGACACTAAATCAGCCATTGTTTGCGGCACGAAAGCTTTGTCCATCGCTTTCAGCTGCATTTCATGCAGATGCTGAGTGACCACAATCATCTGAAAACGGGGAAAAATAGATTTTGAGAAGTACATTAATCATATGGTTCCAATATAGCAAACGAGTTGAAAGCAGCGAAACAACAATTTGGTGCAGAAAAAATGTAAAAATCTTGCGAGTTAAACCGTAGTCTTTTTTAAAGGCGCACTCCTTTTTTTGCGATGAGTTGCGGGACCATCGATGATAATTTGAGGTCGCGCCCTACCGTTGAAAGCGTACGGTTCGGTTCAAAAATATTTTTTGACATTAATTTTTTCAATTTTCTACAATTTTGTGAAATTGTCGCTATAATTTTCGTTCCGCTTGTGAAATCTATACGTAAAACAACAACAAAGGGAATATAGTGTAGTAAATAGCATCATTATAGTAGTAAATGCCTTCATAAACTGAGAAAACAGTATTCAAAATAATTTATGTTCACGGGCATGCGGCGATCTTGTATTGTTGACAGTTCTGGGAGTCCAGTTTTCTAAAAATATATTTAGACATATTACAGCTTTCCGGGTTAATTTTTTTGTATTTATAACAATTCCTACTTTCCAAATAATTAAATAATTTTTATAATGAAGTTCAAGCCAAAACTACAAACTTTTCTTTTGCAAATAAATGAAAACTAATAATTATAAAAATTGCCATCTTTTTTTGCTCAGGTGACATGATTTTATTAAATTGGAAACAAAACGTTGATTAAAAAATCATATTACATAGGAATTGTAAATTGGGTGAATACTTGACTAGAGAAACCTTATAAAGCAAATTCATATTAGAAATGAAGCAAGGCCGCGGCCGTGTCGACAGAATTGAATCGATTTCTCGTCCGCCTCCGCTCGCGGTTCTCTCCGCTCTGTTTTGGCACGTCACCGCCACCAGCCGGCTGTCAGAAATCCCATGCGCTTTTTTTGTTAATTATCGACGATAGTAGAGATTTAGATTAGTTATAGTCAGGTAGTAGGACTGAGCGAAACTCTGGCGCAGCTGAATGCTTCTTGATGAAGTTTTGATAATTCAATCCCCTATTCAATCCCCTATCGATTTCCAATCTTCAAGCTCACTGACTGGTTTCATGGTTTTCTAAAATTCTCAATTTTAGGGCTATGGCCTGTTCATGGACTTTCCTGTGGCTTCTATGGATTGCAATGGTTGCGGTGCTTCTATTCTTCCTCCGTGGACCACTCAAGATCTCAGAATCTCTCGAATCTGGTATTACTTTCTGCTTCCGTTTTCTGTAACCGTTCCCAGTGTAGTTTCAGCGACATCGTACTTCAATAACCTAACTCCGAAGTTTTACGTTGCTCTCACAGGAACTTCTAGCCTCGTATCGGGAATCATCCTGATCTTCGAATGGTGGTATTTCAAAAAGTGAGTCCAGTATCCATAATACAAAAGAAAGTATATATTTGATCTTACAGTAACGCTGGAGTTGAGCAGGGAGAGGATGAGGGATCTGACAACGAAGAGAGTATTGACAACCCAAAGACCGTCCCAGGTTTGGCTCAAAATGTCGAATAAAACTAACTTTTGTCCATTTCCTACCCTTTTAAACTAACGACATAATAACACTCAAATAAAGCATTCTAATATTTGACAATACGTTCGAACTACAACACGGCTGAAATTTCAGAATGCAAAGTATGGCGGAATCCCATGGCGCTGTTTCGAGCAGCTGAGTATAATCGATTTCGTAAGGAGACAAACTCTGAGCCGCTGACATACTACGATATGAATTTATCTGCACAAGACCACCAATCCTTGTTCATGTGTGACGAAGATCAAGGAAGAGCTGAGTATGAAAGTTTGTAACACTCTAGAAAATTCAACTCATTTTTCGGTTTTCAGTCATGCAAGTAGCTTGGCGAGAAAGAGAAAGTGAACAACGAATTCAAACGGCACGCACAGCACTTGCAATCAATTCAGAATGCGCTTCAGCATTGGTATTGTTAGCAGAGGAAGATACTGAAACAGTTGCACAGGCTGAAAATGTTCTTCGACGCGCACTCCGTGCAATCGAAAACACGTTGAGCACTTACTCGAACAATCAAATAGCGAGCTACGGACAAAACGGGGACACAGTCAGAAGTTAGTTCCGTTGTGAGAGATGCTATTTGATAAACAAATTTCAGAACGTGACCTAACCATCCAAACGTATATAAAACGGCGGTTGGCAATGTGTGCAAGGAAACAAGGTAGACTTCGTGAAGCAATTAAAGGATTTAGAGACGTAATGCAGACGACGGTTTTTGGCAATTTTTATGCTTCGATTTTCAGTTATCACGAGAGCAATCCTTATCCACATTGCTTTCCGTACAAGACAATTTGATTGAAGCTTGTTTAGAGGTTCAAGCATACGCAGATGTTCAGAATTTATTGGTAAGATATGATGGCTACGGAACATCATGCTCATACGACCAACGTGAGCCAAGATCAGCTGCCATGAGCTATACATCGGCATTGTTAAAAGTCCGAGCTGTTGCTGAAAAGTAAGGCCTTATACAACATCTTATTGACACTTAAAGATCTTTTGCAGTTTCCGATGTCCATCAGAGTCTTCAGTTCGTCGCGGACTTTCCTCTGCCGAGCAAACTGCAATTGAAGCGCTAACTAGAGCAATGGAATTCAACCCCCACGTTCCTCCATACCTCCTGGAAATCCGCGCAATGATCATGCCACCGGAGCACTTTTTGAAGCGAGGGGATTCGGAAGCGCTAGCTTATGCTTTCTTCCATATTCAACACTGGAAAAGAATCGACGGCGCTCTTCAACTGTTGAGTATAGTATGGAAGGATTTCGTTCCGAAGGTAAACAAGGATACTCACGCTTTCTCATCTCAATTGGAATCCGCCGACAAAGAGTTACTCCCAGCATGGCATGAGCAATCAGCATTCCCACAAACCGAATCAACCCTAGGAATGCTCATCCAAACGTTCGCCTGTCTCGCTATCTGCATTCTCGCTGTCCTCTCCCAACAAGTTCCTTCATCCTATGGAGAAATGCTCCGGCAAATCGTCACCTCCGGCGTCCAAATGTATGAAAACTCAATGAACACCTTCTCCCAATGGGCTCCCAATAACATTATCCCTTATCTGGCATCAAAGCCGGTCTCAGTACCTGAAATCTAAAATGTGAACATGTAAACAATCTTCTCTACATTTTCTTTGTATTGTATCTTTGTACTTTATGTTCCATATCAATACCCAATTCCTCTTCCTCTCCTTAATCATAATTTTTGTAGTCTTTAAGAAAAAACGGCTTGCCATAATAGTCCTTTGAACCCCCATGTCATCTCTTTTCAATGTTTTAATCGTTTGCTGGTGACTGTTTTCAGTTTGAAACGATCTCTCAACCCACTTGAACTCTTTTCTCGAAAGTTAATAAATATTAATAAGCTGTTTATCTGATTCCCAATGGAATTCGTTCCTGTCGGAACGTAATAGTTGATTTCTACTTTATACCTGTTTCTCCAGCTTGGTATTCGAATCATTAATCCTTTTCAGAAATGTCAATAAATGCCGTAGACTCGAAAAAACTGGTTGAAGCTCTTCTTGGAGACCTACGTCTTCTATCACAAGAAGCCAAAAAGAAGCAAAATCACGTAAAGGAATCAGCAGAAACAGGAGTAGTTCGAATCCGAAATATTAGCACAGCTTCAGTTGGCGATACAGTGCTTATCACAAATCTCCGAGCTGCATGTACAGAATTATTACATCCGTTAGTTCTAGCATGTGAAACAAGACATACAAGACTGGTTCAAATTGCATTACAAGGAATCCAGAGACTCGTACAACATAGGATTCTGAGCGGGGTAAAAACTTTTTCTAGTGTACAGTTCTATATTCAATGTTTTCAGAATGGCGCTACAATTGTGACAAATGAACTGTGGGCTCTTGTGGAAGCAGAATGCGAGGAACTTCGTGTGCTTCAAACTGTCCCTCCACTAGTTTCATCGGAATTGATCGTCACTGGAAATACACTAGCGAAAGTGAGTCTCCTCTTAATAATAAGATATTCGAAATCCATAGTTTTAATTTAGTGTGTCGTTATGTGCTTCCGTCTCCACTTCGCTAAAGATCCCATAGTCATAAACGCCGCTTCTGCTGCTGTCCGACAACTAGTTTCTACTGTCTTCGAGCGAGTCATTCAAGAAGATGGAATATTCTCTTCAGAACTCACTGTTGTGAATCCATCCGGAGGTCGTCCAAGTCCAAGAGCTGCACCTCCAACGCTGAGGCCTTGTGCTGCAGACGCATACATGCTTTTCAAAGATTTATGTCTGCTGATAAACGGAGAAGCACCAACTTGGCTAGTTGGAATACAAGAGATGACAAGAACATTAGGACTAGAACTTCTGGAGTCGTTGCTGAAAGGATATCCTTCAGTGTTCATCAGAGTATGTCCACCTTCATAAAAAAATTGCTGAAGCTAAAATGTTTTTGCAGCACACAGAATTCGGTGACTTATTGAAAGACGACGTATGTCCATTGATAATCAGATTGTTTTCGCCGAATGTTAAGGCGATGCACATTAATTCCCAACATCCTTCTTCTCGAATCAGCAACGCGTCTATGAGCAATTATCCTCCTACAGTATCTCATGATCGACAGTCTTTTCCGATTTCAATGCGTCTAGTTCGAATCGTTACTCTTCTCGTCCAGTTCTATCAAAACATATTGGTGAGCATATCAGCTTATTCAAAAACAAAATTTCCGAAATTTTCAGCACACAGAGTGCGAAATTTTTATATCAACTCTGCTGAAATTCGTGGATGGAGATAGAAAAGGATGGCAAAGACCACTTGCACTAGAATCGTTGCATCGTATAATTTCCAGTACGGATCTTGTGAAATGGATGACAGAATCGTTCGATTGCCGGCCCAATTCAACTCATGTTCTTGAACAAGTCGCAGTGGAGCTTTCTGTAGTTGTACAGCAATGCTTAGTCTGTACTACATTTTCAAGTGATCAGGATAATGAACTAGATCGTAGTCAGGAAGATGGAGGACCAGGCTTCCTTGTCAAAGGGTTATGGGTTCCCTATGTTGAGCATTTGACTTCGAAGAAGACCATACTGTAAGCTATAAGTGGATCTACGTAACATTATCTATTTCTATTTCAGGTTAGACTCTTTGGATAGAATGGATGCAGTTGCGATCTCAGAAGGATATGTTCTCTCCCGTTGTTGCGTGGCTCTCTGTGATTTGACCCAGGCTGTTTATGCCGTCATAGATAGATTATGTGTTCTTGATGAGAACTGCGAAGCTGGAAGTTCAGAAGAAAACCTAAGAATTGCAAAAGTGGCATATGCAAATACCCAACCAAGCATCCTTGCTGCAATTGGAAGCCTTCTTGCTGCAAGTACCGATGAGATTGTTAGCGATCAATTACTTTGTTGCTTATCTACGCTCATTTCTGCTGGTTGTCGTGTTGGAGCAGACCAAGATCTTCACAGAAGTGTCTATGTACTTGCAATTATGAGTCTTCCATCTCCATCCTACTTGAATCAATTCGCTGGAATCCCACCCCCAAGTCCCGTCAGTAAACGAGAAGTTTCAATCTCAGAACAAGTTTTCGATTTGGAGTCGTGGCCATCGACTGCACAAGTAACTGCCACCGGACCTCCATGTCCTTGCCCTGTTGTTTCGACGGACTTATGGAATAAACAAGTGTTGCTCACTTCCAAAAATCTACAAGCAGCTCGAACTTTTATTGCATCGATCACCACCCACATTAAAGAACTCAATGGATTATGGTACCTTTGTATGGCGACTTGTGAGCACCTCTCATGGCTTCTTGCCATGCGTCCAACTCAAATCGGACAGTTTGAACGGGAAACCAGGGATGACCATTCAAATGGACCGACGGTTGTCACGAATGCAGCACTTGGAGACATAGGAATGCTCTCTTCTTTGATGGATAAAGTTGCTCCAGCAATTGCCGCTCTTCCAAACGAAGAATTCCTATTAGTAGTGGATGCTTTGATTCGGCTCTCCGATGAAAGTCTGGCAGTTGCAGCTACTGGAAGAGATAGTTCACTGTTTCCGCTGGCTGTTCTTTACAGAGTTTGCTCCTTATCACTTTCTGGAATCAACGTATTCTGGGCAAAAGTCGCAAATCATTTCATCAAAGTATGCAATCATACCTCTGTGTCAATGAGAGATTGGGCAGCAGTTGCACTGACTTCGTTGGCTAAACATGCTATAAAATCGAAGACTTCGATGGATCCAAAAAGCCAACAAGAAATGGTTATTGCTTCTCTTCTAGCCCTGTGCTCTATTCCACACATTCAAGTTCGAAGGAGACAGTTGGACTGCGTTATGTCATTGATGCAGACAGATGGATCCTCTTTACTCTCAACATCGTGGCCAAACGTCATACAAATAATCTCATCAATCATTGACAATGATACAGGGTGAGATTCCGTAGATTGTAAATCCTCAAATTTGCAAGTTTCAGATGTGAACTATCTCTGGTGCGACAAGGATATCTTGGGCTTCGGTTAGTATCATCCGATTTCTTGCAATCAATTCCTTTTGACTGCATTTCTGGACTTGTCGAAGCAATTTCCCGTTACTCTAAACAAAACACAGATCAGAATATTTCTTTGTCCGCATTGACTTTACTGGTAAACAGACAATTTTCTGACATAATTCAACGCCAGTTTTTCAGTGGACAATTTCCGATTTCATCTATCGAAAAATGGAGTCAGTTGGAAATGATGCATCTGAAGCAGTATGGATGGTCCTGTATACTTGTCTGTCGGAATCTTGCGTGGACACAAGATTTGCTGTTCGGAAGTCAGCATGCCAAACCCTTCTTCAAACGGTTACAGCTCATGGACATGCTCTCCGAGCACCTGCATGGCACCACGTGATTTGGCAAATAATTATTCCACTATTGGATAAAGTGAGATCACAAACACGATGTGCATCAACAGAAAAGTCGAATGGAGAACTCATTATGCATCATTCAAGAGATACAGAACAGAAACAATGGACCGAGACATGTATTCATACACTTTCTGCCATATCCAAAATATTCAATTCTCAACGTAAATCCTTATTGGCACTTAATGATTTCGGTGCCGTTTGGGAAGCGTTTCTTGGATATCTGGACTGGGCAGCATGCTATGAAAATGCCGAATTGTCACTGTCTGCTATAAGAAGCTATCAAGAAGTACTTCTTGGAAAAATATCGTCTCAAACTTTGAATGTAAACAGTCATGAAAAGAGCAACGGTTCGGAATCAACACTTGACACCGTTGCTCCTGAGCTACCCCAAGCACAATGGGTCGAGTCTTGGAAAGTTTGGTTAAGAATTTCAAGAGGTCTGGCAAGACAGGGATGTGCTGCTGTGGCGAATTCTGTGAATGCTGATACAAAATCAACATCGTCTACTCCTCGAATGAACTCCTCCACATCTTCTTTGACGTCTCTTGCGCCTGGTGTTTATGTCCCTGGACCTTCTCACTTGACAGCCATTCTTCACATTTTCCCACCATTATTTGACAAAGTGGCCAAATGTATTACTGTAGATGACCTGAAGTACGAAAGTCTCCCAGCTGTGTTGGAAAGTATGATGAACGTTCCAATTCCATCCGAACAAGCACCATTCGTTCTTCCATCTTCAACCACACATTTAACGCCTACACAAGAAGCTCTTCTCGAAGCTGTTAAAATTGTATATGTAGAATGCACTATCTCGGGAACAACGTTACGAACAGCGATTCCCGACCAAATCAGACTTTTACTGAAGTTTGCAAGTATGGCTACTCAGAGGATTTCCCCCAATAAAGTAGCACCTGGAGGACAAAAAAGCTATGTATGTTTAGAATATTCATAATATATATAGTTTCACTTTTTTTCAGAGAGATTACGCCCTCACCGCGATCGTTCCGTTTTCGGAATACTCACTTCGGATCGCTATTGAATTCTTCACTTCGACTTCTCAATATCCAGATGTATCTAACTCGTTGATTGCTATAAACATCATAAAATTCCTTGGAGAGCCTCTCTACATGAAGTACACTTGTATATCAGCAAGCACATGGAAACTAGCTGCTAGTTCATTGATGTCAGTTTTGAGAACATCTATTCCATATGCACGTCAGAATCCTGAAGTGTTCCGAAGTTTGTGGTCTACTATTTGTGATACGATGGAACGTTGGTTGTTTACTCCAAAGTAAGTTACTATAATTCATTATTATTCTTAAAGTTTTTGTTTCCGCTCTGGTTCTAGTAAGTCAAGTCGCTTAGCTGCGGACGAAAGAAAACGAGACGAACTGATGGAATGTCAGGCGATTGAAATAATCAGAAATGAGATGCTTGCCTATGCGTCTCGTCTGCCTCAAGAAGATGTTCAACGATTGATTTCCCTTCTCCATCGAGGATCCATTTCTCAAATAGATTCTACAGATGTGCTCGGTAAGTGTTTCATCTTTTGGAATTTCTTCTAACTCGTTTTCTCCCACTGGTTATGTGGTGTTGGTGTCCTTTAGTCCACTTCATTGATCGCATGTTTTCGGTGTACTCGGTAATAACCCTCGAGTTCAGCTTCAGACTCCCATACCCAACGTAATGAGCTGGCAAAAGCATGTTTCGATGCTCTTCTGATGTCGACCGATGGTGCACAGGCTGGCGCTGAGGAGGACGACCACAGAGGGATTTTGGGAAATGTCGCGGTCACAAGTCTCCTCCAAAGATGCACACAGGTAATAATAAAAACATGAACAAAAACCACAAATTTTTTCAGGTCATGGCGGATTTCTGTAAGGATTGGTCAGCTGCTGGAGATCTTCGCCTACCAAGATCCCGGATCCTAGAAATCATATCAGCACTTCAAGCAATTGATTCTCTGATTGCTCGACTTGCAAGAGATCCCAGAATGACGGAACTCTACTCTCAACTTGTTTCTCTATTTCCATCCGTCGTAGATGTCATGCCATGCTGTCATGCTGATGGTCAACTCGAACAGCAGCTCATCAAAACGATAAAATCTTATCAAACACTTTTCCTTCTCCAAAACATACCGCAATCCACAGTGTAATATCCATATTTTCAATTTAGCCGTATTTATTTATTTACTGGTTTTTAGTTTTGTATTACTATTTTTATGTTATTTAGAATATGGGTTATTGAAATATCTATTGACAATATCATCGTTGCCTTTATGTTTCTTTTTTCGCCTCCCTATTCTCTTTTCCAGTTCTTGTATAGTTTTGCGTGCTCGTCCTTTCACGAAAAACGAGTATATTGTCTGTGATCCAATTCCAACCCGCTTCTCTTTTGATGAATATCCTCTTATCGGAATCCCGGACTGTTATAAAAAAATGTTGTGAGATATGAATTCTCTCTACTTGTAATAAACTTATCAGCGTTTTATCTTAATCTGAGTCTGGCAGCATCACACAAGTTTGATCCTCTTGATAGCTTACTTTTTTATCACCTGTAGAGCTCTAAAATTGGAAGTTATGTTTAGCAGAATGAACAAAGTCACTGACTACAATACTTGGTGGTTTCTGAACCACGGAGTTGTACATGTAGAAATCGATGGAGTAGTCAGCTACGTGATGGAAGACATGCTAGATTTCTCAGGAACTACCACAGATCTTGATATTAAAGACTTACAATCAGACTCTGTTGAACAGATAGTTGAGCGTATTCTGAACATTGAAGGAGCATGGAGCATTGTTTACTACAACCGTAAACTCGAAAAACTATTTATTGGTCGCGATGTATTCGGGAGACAATCAATGGTATTCAATTTCCATTTGAAAGCATTCGGATGTCGTTCGCAGCGTAAATGTGCTGGAGAATGGGTAGAAATCCCATTCGGACAGGTTACCGTATTCGACCCGATGATGGATCAGAGCCCAACTGTTTATTCGTATTTTGAAAGTTATCCCGTGGTTTGAAACACTTCTAGACAGTAGTTTATTTGTATTTCTTTTTGCAGGGAATCATGGAAAAATACTTCCCCAAACACCCTCCTAAACATGTTTTCGTGCACAATAAGGATCCACTTCTGAATGTGAGCAGAGCGATTGGAGGACGAGTAGACGTATCAAATGCTAAATTGCTATTCCAAAAAGTCACCGATGCAACCAAAGCTCTTTTGAGAAAATGTATGTGTGCCATCTAGGTTTTAATATCAATGCTTCTGAAATTTCAGACAACAAAAGCCACGTGATCGTATGTTTATCTGGAGGTGTTGACTCAACATTCATTGCTCATGCCGTACATGCTAGTGTTGATTCTGATATGACTATTGATCTGGTTAACGTCGCATTTGGAAGTGGTAAAAAAGTAGGAGGTTCAACATACAACATTTTTAAATTTACGGTTTTGAGGAATGCGAGAAAGCTCCCGATCGGAGTCGTGTCAGAAAAGCGTTGGAATCACTTCGTGTGGCTTATCCCAAACGTAAATTCCGTCTAATTCTGGTGAATGTGGATAAGAAAACTCTCGAACAGCACAGAACTGAATCAATCGCTCTTGCTGCGGAGCCAGCAGTTACAGTTCTCGATGACTCGCTTTCTTGTGTTCTTTGGTTTGCTCTACGAGGAGAAGGTCTTGACAGTGACAACATGAATCCAGTGACATCACCTGCAACCACATGTCTTCTTGGATCCGGTGCAGACGAACTTCTGGCTGGTTACGCTAGACACAGGACCAGATTTGAAAAAGAGAAAATCCCAAGAAACATTGCAGAGGAATGCGAGAATGAATTAAGAAGATTGGGTTCTAGGAATGGAGGACGAGATGCAAGAGTGGCATCGCAACTCAAAAAAACCATTATGTAATTATCTACTGTATTTATATCTGTTGAAAAAAGTTCCAATTTTGTAGGTCACCACTGCTTGAGGATACTGTAGTTATTTGGCTCAATTCTCTTCCAGTCGATTCAAAATGGGATCTCTCGTTAAAACGTGGAGTGGGAGAGAAGCAATTGCTTCGTGAGGCGGTGAAAATGCTAGGATCTCCATATGACGCTCCGAAACAAGCCATGCAATTTGGATCGAGGATGGCAAAGATGAGTAACGGTAGCAAGACTATTAAAGGAAGTGACAAATCACCTCATTTGGCAATTGAAGATAACCTCTGATCTCTGTATTTTGTAATTTATATTGATAAAGTAAAATTTGATGGTTGGAATGCAATCTATTTTTATTAAAAAGAAAAAGGATCAATTCGTCACAGTCTAAGCTTTTTGGACGGCACGGTGTCTCTTGGCAACGGCACGGTGCTTGGCAGCGACCACACGACGAGCCTTGGATCTTCTGGCGGCAACAGCCTTTCTGCGAGAAACAGATCGGTGCTTGGCAGCAATGCGGTTGCGAGCAACAGCGGCTTGGGCACGAACAACAGAGGAACGGGATGGGCATGGGCAGTAGGCAGCATCACCTCCTGGTTGCCCAGCGGCTCCAGGAGTTCCTGGTGGTCCAGCATTTCCTGGTTGTCCTGGATGTCCGTCTGGTCCTGGCTGTCCTGGTTGTCCTGGAGCGCCGTCGTTTCCTGGCTGTCCATCGTTTCCGCGTGCTCCTGGTGGTCCTTGTGGTCCTGGTCCTCCTGGGGCTCCTGGACGTCCGACAGAGCGAGTTCCTGGTGCTCCTGGAGCTCCTGGTCGTCCGTCGTTTCCTGGTCTTCCTGGTTGTCCATTGTCTCCAGCTGGTCCTTGTGGTCCTGGTGCTCCTTGTCCTCCACCAACAGCGTCTTGTCCTGGTTGTCCGTCGTTTCCACGTTGTCCATCCTTTCCTGGTTGTCCTGGTGGTCCTGGTGGTCCAGCTGGGCAGACGATGCATCCGTTGGCAGAAAGTGGGACTCCAAGGTTTCCATCGGCTCCTGGAGTTCCGTCCTCTCCAACCAATCCGTGGTCTCCATCCTCTCCTGGAGCTCCTGGTGGTCCTGGTGGTCCAGCTGGGCAGTTGCTAGCAGCCGAGTTGGCTCCGCAGTTACATTGTGGAGCTTGACGCTTGGCACGACCGAAAACTGATTCGTAAACTTGACGTTGCTTGTCTCCTTGTGGGACAACAGTCATCATTTGATGCCAGACGGTGTTAGCATCGTCCTGGAATAAAAATCAGGTAACTTCTGATAACAAACGATCCTAAGATTTACCTTGAAGTTCTCAATGTTTCTGGTCACATCATCGTAGTAGTTGTTGACATCATTGACAAGATAAACCAAAGAAACAATCGAGGCGAAAACTGCCAAAGAGGAAGTCGCAGCTGCGATGGAAACGAGATAACGAGCCGCCGACATTACTGTCTTGTCTTTCCTTACTTCCCATTCCCCTTTTATACCATTTTACCTAACCGTTTACAGTTCATCATTCGGTTTTTTGTAGGATTTTGGAGGGTATTGTGTGTTGTGTAATGAAAAAATACCGTAGAAATGATAGGAGACGAAGAGACGTCCAGTGTAAGAAGACGGTTTCTCTCAGAAACCAAAAAAAAGGTACCTTCTGATACGGGAAAGTGTAAAGTTTTGGGGAAAAAATGGTTTGTGGAAGTTGATTGCTTTCCCTTTCATTATATTTTCGGTTTGAAAACTGTTCTAATTTAGAAAGTAAGAAGACAGAATCAGATTGCAAACAGATAAAGTTTAGAAGTATCTTAATATTTCTTAAGAAGGTGGAAAAAATAATCAATTAATCGGTGATGAAACCTGTATTAGAAGGGCATCTGAAATCAATTCGTCAGCTCTCCCTTAAATGGGAATTTCGGATCGCGTGAACACTAAATACTTCAATACAATTGAAACAATAGAAAATGTCGATTGAATGGCTCAGTGGTCTAAATTTAAAACTTATTTTTCTCGAAACTGGTAGGTCCGCAGCAAAAACGAAAAACAGATTCGGAAAGGACGTGTCCTTAGCTTTCGAATGATATAGGTCTCGACCGTAAACTCCAAACTAAGTTCTCGACCTTCCCTAGTGAGAAAACTTTTAGACAAATTATCATTGACTATATGTGTCATTGACTACAAAGTCTCATGGAGAGAAATTATCATTTGCACATGTAGTCAATGATACTACTGTAGTCAATGAAACAAAATGTAGTCAATGATATTTTTCAGTCAATGATACCGATGTTGTCAATGATACAAAATGTAGTCAAAGATACATATAGTCTGTGATAATTCGCCTAATGAAAGAGGTAAGTTTTCTTTTGGAAAACGGCAAAGCACATGTAGTCAATGAAACAAAATGTAGTTAAAGATAGTTTTCAGGGCATCTCTGTTCAGCCGAAAAACAAACTGGTAAAACGAGAATTCTCATTTAAATAAAATTATGCAGAACTGTTGATTTTTACTCAAAGTTTATAATTTTATTAGTCTGATTTTCAAACTGGTTGTTTTTTTTCACAAATCAGAGGAGTGTTTCTTTTTATTGACGTTCAAATATTTAAAGCATTTTGATTTTTGGGTATTCAAAGCACATGAATCAGGGGAGATTTTAGTTTAATTATATAGCTAAACATTGAATAGGTCATTTAATATCCGCACTTGTAGATCATCACATTCACCTGAAATTGAACATTATAAAATTAATTATTTTTGATACTTTACCTTGTTGCATTTGAGAAGAATAAAGTGTCCCATTTCGTAGCTAACACGACTTCCGAAACACTTTCCACAGATGACATGCCACGTGGCACCAAACTTCTTATCGAGCTCTTCTTTGACGAACGCAGCCACATCCTTATCAATATTATAAAGACGCTGAGCTTCTCGAACAATTGAGATAACCATATCTCGTTGGGAATCCTCCATATCAGTCTCTTTTACTTCGATTTTTTCTTCCGACATTTTTAGAGCTCTTTGAAACGGAATGTGGTATTTGAACGATTCAGAAGGAGAGGTGGGAGAAAAGTTCTGAAAGTAATAGAAAGAATGAATTGGTGGAAGCGAGAAAGAAGAGGAGAACAGGAGTCACATCACTTTGAAAAATGACACTTGAGTTGATCAACTAATCAGAGAGAAAAGAAAAGTTCGAAACAAAAAGGTATCACCTCGAAATATCATTTCGATCGTTAGATATTGAGCCCTTAGTATACTGTGTAAACCTCTAGTAATTTTGTTCCTGAAAGAGATATATTTAAAAAATTTCAACTTTCTTATTTTTCGTAGATATTTCAACGCTCTCCGTGCTCCTCTAATAGAAGCCCACCCAGACCGTCAACTTTGAGCTCAATTGTCACGATTCTTGTGAAATATATCACAAAGTAGTCAATTGATGAATTATTGGTGATGTTATAATAAATGATTTATCAGTTGACACATTTTTAATCTTCACAGGAATCCAGATAATGCTGCTACTAAAAACAGTTACAAATTATTTGAATTTGGATTTTGGAACAAGTCGATTGTGATTTAGTCTTTTTCACTACCACACGAGTAGCTCAAAAAACAGGCTGAAAAATAATTTTTTTCTCTTTGTTGCTAACAAAGTGTACTCCAGGAAAACAGCTTTTTGAAAAGACAAGATCAAACCACATTGAATAGGCATCAGTTGGTCAATTCGAGGGTTAAATGTCATTCTTCACATCTCTCAAAGTTTTTGAGTTGAAATATTTAGGTTCACAATAAATGAGCCGTATTTCCTCTAATAGAACCAAACCTAAACCGTTAATTTTGAGCTCATTTATTTCGATGCCTGGGAAAAATATCAAAAATATGTTAACTGATGAAATATTGGGAATATTATGATGAATGGTTTATCAGTTAACAACTTTTGAATAACTTTCACAAGAATCGAGATAATTGAGCTCAAAGTTGACGGTTAGTGTGGTTTCTACTAACGAAAATGCGGTAGATATTTTGTACAGTAACTCATAGAATGTTTTGTACAATAAAGTTGTCCGCTACTAAAAACAGTTCCAAATTATTTGAATTTGGATTTTGTAACAAATCGATTATGAATTAGTCTTTTTCAATACCACACGAATAACGCAAAAAACATATTGAAAAATAAGCCTTGTATCTTTGTTATCAACGAAGTATAGTCCAAGAAAACCAATGTTTAAAAATCCTTGTTTCAAACCACATTCAAAGAAGTTGGTCATATGAATCCGTTGGTCATATGAAGGGTTGGATGCCATTCTTTACATCTCTAAATTGTTTTGAGTTGATAGAATATCTAGGTTTTCTATCAATGCATTTTCTTTTTAACAACAAAAAAATTACTAGTAAAACAAGAGAATGATACTCTCCTGACGTCATAAAAAAGAGTAAAGAAACAGGTAAGAAAGATCGGAGAACTAGGTGGAGCTTCTTCTTGAATCCTGTGTGTGGCGCCCGTTTGGCAACAGCAGCTGTCAATTTGTAGCAATCACGAAAAAAGAAAAGGAATGAAAAAAAGAAGAAGAAACATAGAGGACAGAAAAACGAGAAAATGATGAGAAGATGAAATGAGAAGACTCCATTTATTTGTAGAAAAAAAAGAGAAAAGAAGCTCTTACAGCGAGAGCCTCAAGCCATTCTATTTCTCATGACCTCATCAAGTGTTCTATTTTTTTCACTTTGTGGCTGGTTCCCCGAGAGCTTGAGAGAGACATCGAAACGACATGTATTTGATGGATGAGTGTGAACATTCTTGGGGCGCCGAAAGTCACACATTTCAGAAAAAAGCATCTGAATGGAAAATAAGAAAAATAGGATGACAGAAACAGTGTTTTTAAAAAGAAAAAAAAGAAGAAGATAAGAAACAAATGAAGAACGGCTTTTCTGGGACGAATTTTCAGAATACATTAGTCAGGAATTTTTGTACACAGCTTTTTTGACTCTTCATAACCCCAGTTTTTGATAAAATGAGATTTCAATGACTCTGTATTATCTGGATCCATAAAAATACCGTAATACAGATTGGAATATGAAAAAAATCAAGAAGAACCAAACTTGTAATTTTCTCATATTCTTACCGTATTTCCTCGAATAGAAGCTCAATCAGGTCTTCAACGTTGAGTTGAATTATCTCGATTTCTGTTAAAGATATCAAAAAGTAGTAAACTGATAAAATATTGGTGATATTATGATAAATAATTTATCAGTTGATAAATGCTTAATATCTTTCACAGGAATCGAGATAATTGAGATCAAAGTTGAAGGTTTGGGTGGGCTTCTATTCGAGGAAATACGGTATTTATGAATTCAGGGATGCTGAGCAGTTTTTGAATTTTTAAAAGACTCATTCGAAGATATATCTATTCACATTAATATTCTGATTTTTGGGAAACTGAAAGAAAACTCTTATTGAACAAGATGGAAGAGAAGATGGAGCTTGTGGGGAGTATTCAATCTGGGCACCTCGCCAGACAAGGCACTCAGATTGAGTTTTTCCGTCGATTTATTTCCTATTTGGTAAAACTAAAGTTATCTCGCGATTCATCTGAAGCGAATGAGGGTCTCGTTCCGAACGACACTGACAAAAAAGACAAACGATTCCTGGAGAGCACACGAAGTAGTGAGGGAAATTGAATGAAATGTGACGACACGTGCTTTGTTTTTTTGCCAATCTTGAATGTAGACAGCATTGGAGACGACGAGGAGTAGTGAAAAGATATAAGGGATGGGAAAGGATGAAAGGAGCAGATAGTGGAAAGACAAATTGAACATTTGAATCACAAATTAGGTTTTATTTCGATAGACACGCTCAACAGACAAGAAAATAAGAAAAGGGAAAAGGAAAGGGAAAAAACCTCAAAAAAGGTGTACGAAAACAACAACAAACTAATCAGTTGGATTTACAACCGGTAGTAGGAAAAACTAACCGGGGAGGAGGTTCTGTGGAAACTTTAAAGGTGGGGGGACAGGAGATTTTTTGGAGTTTTTTTGGAGTTAGGGTATACATTCTACCGTGACGGTGTACAACGCTTAATGTCACTCTGCGTACAGCTGTCCTCCTCGCCTTCATGTATGCAATCGGGAGGCCGCTTTCTCTTTGCCCGCGTGGCTCAGTCGGTAGCGGCGTCGCACCCTCAATTCTCACCCCCACAAGTTCAACTCCTCGAGGGGCATATTTAAGCGGAATTTCGAGAACTTTTTTTCATGTCTCCCCACCTTTAAAACGAGTTACGAGAAAAATTAAAGAAGCTTTTCTAGACAATAATAGCTCTGGAAAAACGCCTAACGTAGAGAATCATAGTACAGATCTGGGAGTAAATAAGTTGACGATTAATGCATTCGAGCGAGATCTTCAATAACTTTCAACATTTCAACTGGGTCTCTGGGAAGGCCTGCAATTTATTGTTTTCATTTTTTGAAATAGGTTTTTACTAAAGACAACTCACTAGCATCCCATCCTTTATCGGAGACCTTTTTCAAAATATCAATAGCCACAGATCTATCCATATCCAGAATCGATTCAACTAGATCACCGTCAATGAAACCAGATGGCTGAAATGAGCAATTATAAAAAGACAGAATTCCGAAATAATACTCACGGGTTCAATTCTTTTTTGGAATATGAAAGATCTGTAGGTGGAATGTTCGATCTGCATACAGTTTTTCACAGAATCAGATATGGCCTTCTCAATGGAAACCAAAAACTTCTTCCATTTATCATCAATTTGAACCAACATTCCGATCGTTCCTTGATTTGTTCCAAACATAATCGGATGACTGTATTCGATGGTGCTGTCTTCAGGTTGAACAACGAGAGAGGCTCTGACCATTACTTTTGGAAGTTCACCTAGATACCAATATCCAGTTGGTTCTAGTACATATCGACCATCATCTGTTATCGGTCGACTCTTATCAACTTCTACTGTGAACATGTTCAAATGTGCTTCTCCTCCCAGAATCGATTCCGCAGTGATAAACTCACAAGTTACCATCCATTCGCTATTCCAATCTTTTGCAACTTCTTCGAAATTCCCTTCCATCATTCGGTAAGAAAGAAGAGACACGGATCTCATCAAATCCGCTACGGCTACTTCTTCGTTCATCACTTTCAAATCGAGAGCTACTATGTGATTGAAGTTACTGCACTCAAGACGAAGCACTTTGTCTGCAGTCCACTCAAAAAGTCTGACCGAACTGTTGATAGCGGCAACCAGTTTTCCATTAAGAATACGTAGAGCCAGAGGACTTCCCCGCACAACCAATTCATGAACACGTCTCAATTTCGTTCTCTCTACGTCGTCGACTTCGAAGACAATGATTCGACCTAGCTTTGTGTCCGATTCATCAGGATAGATAAGACCAGTTCCGACGATGTAGTATTGTCTCGCATCATCAGAAAACTGTCCCGAGATGCAGCTGAAATTTGAAAAGGTTGTAATCAACTATGTACAGAACGCTTACCTCACTGCTGCTTCAAATGGTCCGAACTCATGCGCATGAAGAACTTGGAAAGTGTTCTGATCGAGAATCATGAAGCTACTAGTTGAAGCGGGTGGCCCGTCATTCACCTCATTTCGAGTTGCAACAACTGAAGAGTGACATATGATAAAGATTGAAATATGAAAATAACCCACTTTTAGCTCTGCTTTGTGAATTCGCAAGAGCATTCTTCGATGCATAAACTCGCTCAGGCTTAGTCTCCGACCGTGACGAACAAACACCATAAGTTCCTGTGCTTTTTTGGTAAGCGATACGCATAACTGATTCTCCCATAGGAATTGAGCGGATATGAATTTTCTGAATGTCGTCTACAGTTCCAAACACCATTGAATTACCGTCTGATATGACAAGACAATCACTAAAATTAGTTATATTTGGACCGGCATGATTATGAGAGGTATCTTACCGATAAGAAGTAGAGCTCAACGAACAGACAGTATTCACTACTTTGACGTTCACATTTGAGAAGACGAGTTTTTTGTTAGCTGAGAAAATTATCACTGGACGATCGGAGCACACGAAAAGATGTTGACGGTTCTTATTACGAACTCGATGGAGACTCGGCGGACGGGTACCCACACTGGATTTTTTAGCTTCTCCATGAGTTCCTGTTTTGATGTCAAAGACGTAGTAAATGAGCGCTCCATCTCCAAAGGCGACAAGAAGATAGTGAACGTCTTCAATGCAAGTGGCAACAATCGAACGTGGGACGATTTTGGACGGCAGATTGGTTTGGCAAGCCTAATAATATTGAATAAGACCGAAGTATCTTGCTTTCATAATTTACCGTCTTTAAATCTGAAAGCTGCACGACTTCCATAGAGAATGATCCCCATAGAGCCAGCACCATGAAAGTACCTGGTTTTTTGTAATCATCACCTTCGTTCGAGATATCAAGGCAAGCGATTTCCGCTTCAAATTTCCTTTCGGCAACAATCTGTATATCAAGCGCGCCTGCTTCGTCAACCATACATTTGAGATAGTAAACGGTGTCTCTAGCAGCTACCACAATTTGTCCATGGATAGCATTCACTGATACTTTCGACACAGATTCCCCATTCGTCGGTCTCCAAATTTTTACTTGTTTTTGGAATGACATGAAACGGATTTCTTCTTCCGTCACTTGTAGGATGAGCTCGGAATCATCAGGCCCAAACAAACTGGACGCATACATCGTGGTTCTCTCCGTTTCGATTTCCAAAAGTTGCACATCTTCTAGCTCTTCTCCGGTGATTTTGAGAACGTGAGTTTCGTCAGGTAACGACACGATCACAAAATTATCGGTCGTAGATCGAAGGCGTATGGGAAACATCCCAATAACTTTAGCCAAATCCACGCTCGCTAGTTCCTCAATTCCAATTCCATTTCGAATGACACGGAGTGATCCATCCTTGTCCGCTCCTGAGCATGTCACCAGTTGTGGCTGTCCATCAGACTCTACCAGAACCATATCACGAATTGGTCCGGTGTTGGTATACGTCTCCAAAACCTGCAATTTCAAACTTAAAATATAATTGAATGTAAATGCTTACCACTGAATAACTTCCTCCGTTCGGTGCAGTCATAAGACGGATAAGTTGTGAATCTCCGAGTCTTGATCCAACAAATACGACCCCGTTGTCCACATAGTTCACTGAGTCAGCAACCGATGTTTCACCAAGATATTCAATACGCATTTCTTTAACTGTCGTGCCAGACCTTCCTTCGCCAATATTCAGAAGAAGCATCAGAAGTCGTCCATCTGTGTCAGCAAGCAAGAATCTGTCTCCAGATGCATCAACGATTCCGTGGCATGTGAAAATAGTGTTTTTGAGCAGAGAACATGAATAAGGAACCACATCGCCATTGACGTCACTTCTGAACCTTTGTTATGAAAACAGTAGAAGAAAACCATGCTATTACGCTTTGTAAAGTGCAGAGTTTGCTCCTAACACGATTACTCCTCCAACTGGTGCAGGAACTGGGATGAGAACTTGAGAATCAGCAGCAATGCAAGATTGTTTAGAAAAAGTATGAAATTCCTTGTCGTGCATATTCAGGTCAGAGAACTGCAAATGCTTGCCGTGATCATCGTCGTAGATGAATGCAACCCGGACTGTATCATCTGCAACCGCATCGAAAACTAATCTGATCGAAATATTTTAAGACATACCATCACCAGTGTCGACAAATTTGAAATCAGAGACATTTGGATAATCAAATCGAACATTGAAATGACGGACGTCGGCGCCTGGTTCCCAGTGAACCATTTTCACACTTCCTTCGTAGCCTATGATTGCAATTAGACCACTGCGATGTATGGTCATGGCGACTGCGGTGTCCGCACTTCTCCCGCTATATTCAGCGATACTTCCAGCAGCACGTGTGATGACTTTACCATCCCGATATCCTAGAACTGCCAAGTTGAACTTGTCCGTAACAACCACCAAGGAATGTTGTTTCTAAAGTATATCTATACTTTAGAACTTTTTCGACTCCAGAATAACATACCTCACGTCTGAATTTGATGAGCGAAATTGTTGAAACTTGTCCATAGATGGGGATCTCACAAATATTCTTGAGCCCTTCTGGTGTGACGAGTTGTACATCGATGCGGTTTCCACGGGCAACAATCAAGTCAACATTGTCTTGCCCTAAACAGTGATCCTTTAAGGGAGAAATAGAAGACGTAACAGGAATGAAATACCTGTAAAGTTGCCAACTACCGACTCAGTGACAACGGAAGCCTTTTTCGCAGAAACACAGTAGCTGATAGGCATGGCTGTGTTTCAATAATCACTATTCAGTGATTCCGATAACTGAATAAAATTTCCAGATTAAAACTTGATAAAGTTGACTTTAAATTTACTCTTCGAAATTTCGAGGAAATTTATCAACCTCGCACCTCGTCTTCAATACAAACACAAATATTTCTGGCGTCTCCAGTCTCTACACCGTAGCGGCGGAGCAGGCTTGAAAGGTGTGTTTTCTAGGCCCGAGACCTCGGAAATTCCGGGGAAAAAAACTCCGGGGAAAAAAAAAACTCCGGAGAAAAGTGGGCGGAGTCGGGGGCGGAGCCTAAATTGCAACACTGGCACGGTTTTGCCGCA